AGGGTGTAGTGTAGAGGAGTGTGTTCAATGTTCATGTCTAGGAGATGGGTGGAATCTACTCTATAACAATTGTGTTGCAAATTTAGTTCCAGTTCTAAACTGGGAGGCCATGCTAATGTAGTGATGTGCTGCTGTGAGATGTAAATGGCCTCTTGAAGTGTCTTTTCACCCATCTCCCGAATCTCAGGTTATGTTCTAACAATCCCGCTGCCCTGGCTTTGATCCAGGTGAGGTCCGACCCGTACGAGGAATTGCAGAAGTAAACCTGACAGAAACAAATGCAGAGAGAACCACAGTTAATTCAGATGTTTTCAACAGTTTCAAATTCAGACATGTGGAATTCTTCTGCTTGCTCCATTATCATGTCATGACCATTGCAATTTTAATTCCAGTTGTCATATGAAACCAAGTTTCATTGACCAGGTCTGAATTATTGCTGTTGTTTCAGTGCAGTGTGTGACACCTTAAAGCCTTCACAGTCTGCTGTGTCATGAGCATTAGAGATCCCAGTTCTGCTGGGAACATTTTCTGGCTTTACTTCAAGTTTACTGCTTTCATTACAGCCAGATCTGTGGGCATAAATTAGTTCACCAGTTTCGGTGTTGCCTTCTTAGCATTTGCAGTTTTATGGTTTCGTTCACACATTTGGTTAGTGCAGATCTCTTGTCACCTGCAAAAGGCTGTGGTACTTCTGTCTGATGTTTAGCAGTTCAAACCCTCCTTGTAAATGTACTTCTTTGATCAGATTCAATTTTAGTTAGTGTATAGAGTTATAATGCAATTATATTATATTTAAGAATATAAATGAAATTATATTGTACTGATGAGATGTTATTAATGATGTAGATTTCAAATGCCTTTTCGTTTCATCTAGTCTTTTTAAAGACTATATGAAGGCAAAGTGGCCATTTTAATGTTTGATTATTCTATTTAACTCTTAATTATATTTTACCCGCTTAGATCAGATGGTTAATAACAGAGAACTCTGTGCTGAGAATTCAAAGGGATAGTTCACCCAAAAATGTTGATTAGCCCATGATTTACTCGCCCTTAAGTCATCCTAGGTGTATATGACATTCTTCTTTCAGACAAATACAATCTGAGTTATATTAAAATAGGGATGGGCATCGGTATTTATCATTGGTACACCAATGTCGGTAACGATATAATTTTTTTTCGATATAGCGCTGTGCCGCTGTCTCTTTTCCAGCGCGTTTGCGCTCCCGTGGCGTCTGTCTTTGCTATGCAACCATGAACTGCGCTCTCCACATCATGTTGACTGAAGGTGCGTTCCATTCGAACTGCGAAGTTAAAGATGGCGCGACCACTACAACGTTGCCCAACATCAAATGGCAAACGTAATGAAAGCGGAACGACACTGTGCTACTCATTATTTTGTGCTTCATGGACCGTTTATCATTTTGGAGCATCAATGTCAGTGCGAGCGCGAGCCGATCTTGATCAAGCGACACTGTCACTACACAGCGCTAAGAGATCCAGTAAAGCATTTGAATTCGCCGTTACTCCGCTACTTATAAAAAACCGTTACTCCGCTACTTATAACAGATGTTGATCCATCTCAAAGTTCACCTTGATTGTTCTACGTTCACACTTTTTATACGTTTACACCACCACCTGGGTGGTGTTGGCACAGTGGATAAGACACATGACTTTAGTGTGAGAGACCCGGGTTCGAATCCACTTCTGCATTGGGCAGGCCGAAGGTCAGCCAAGGCAGGCTGGAGTTGGATTTGCAGTGAAGACATCATTGCAACCACTCCTAGAAGTGCAACCTCACGGCCTGTCGCCAAGGCTGATGACCTTGCAGCAGATGCTCAAGAATGGACACAGTGCTGTCTTGATTAGCTACGCACCCACAATGACCGCCAGTGATGACCAGGAGTCTTTCTATGAACACCTTAACACTGCCTTACGTTCAGTGCCTCATAAACACCGGCTCTTTAATGCGCGTGTGTGTCATTGCATGGCCTTGGGGCAGCACCCAGTGGGAAACGAGAAAACAAACGGCACGTTGCTGCTGGAGATATGTGCGCAACATGAGCTGGCGGTAACAAACTCCTATCAGCAGGCGAACAAGTACAAGACCACGTGGCAACATCCTCGATCAAAGCACTGGCACGTGTTGGACTACATCATCACCCGGCAGGAACATCTCAGGGAGGTTAATATAACTCGAGCCATGCGAGGCACAAGCTGTTGGTCAGACCACCGACTGCTGCGTAGTGTGATGTCTCTGGACCTAGCTCCATCTCGTCGACATAAAGCCAAAAGCCGGAAGCGACTGGATGTTTCTAAGCTTCGTGTTGACTCTTGCCATACCTTCTGTCCCTTCTGTCCCTTCTTCTTCCCTTTCAGACAGGCTCAGCACCTTGGGCAATCAAGCTACCATTAATGTTGAGGAGACATGGTCCAAAATCAGGGATATCATGTACAACGCAGCTGCTGAAGTCCTCGGCTACACCACATCTAAACATAAGGACTGGTTTGATGATCAGGATGTTGAAGCTCAAGCCCAGTTGAACACAATGCACACAGCTCACTTGGCGTGGGTCAATGATAAATCCAGCACTGCGAAAAAGTCTGCATATACTAGGGCAAGAAATGCAGCACAGACCCACCTGCATGAAATGAAGAACAGATGGTGGCAGTTAAAAGCTGAGGAACTTCAGCTTGCTGCAGACCGATATGATATGAAGGCATTCTATCATGGTCTAAAGGCAGTCTATGGGCCCCTGAGAGCTGGTTCTACACCTGTACGTGCCATTGACAGAACCCTACTTTCTGACAAGGCTGAGATCCTCAGACAATGGGTAGACCATTTTCAATTGGTATCGAACCAGCCAGCTGCTTTCGATGACTCACTGCTTGGCGACATAGCGCAGTGGTCAATGGCATCAGACCTGGACAATATCCCGTCCCAGGAGGAAGTCGCATGTGCCATTAAGCAGATGTCCTCTGGTAAAGCTCCAGGTTCTGATGGCATTCCAAGTGAGGTGCTGAAGGAAGGTAGACTATCTCTTCTCTCCGCACTCAATGCATTATTCAGTAAAATATGGAGCGAGGAATCTGTGCCTCAAGATTTTAAAGACGCATTGATTGTTCACATTTACAAGCGCAAGGGAGACAGAGCCTGCTGTGACAATCATCGTGGCATCTCGTTGTTGGACATGGTGTTTACTGCTAGGCAGATTCAGGAGAAGTGCCGAGAACAACACCTTGATCTTAATATGATCTTTATTGACCTCACGAAAGCCTTTGACTCAGTTCCCCGCACCAGGCTCTGGCTCATTCTGCATAAGATTGGATGCCCAGAGAAATTCATTAACATCATCTGTTCATTTCATGATGGTCAGGTGCTGGATGATGGTGAGCTGTCTGACCCATTTGGCATCTCCAATGGTACCAAACAAGGCTGTAAAATATCCATATTTAAAGGAGAATTCCGGTATTTAGCACTTTGAGTCTATTTTCTAGTTTGTTTTGGATGAATTAGAGTGGTGGACACAGAAATTTTGATGATGGGTCCTGTCTCGACTTTTTGACTCTTTTAGAATCGCCTTTGACCGATTCAGAGTGGATGTCTATGGGCATGCACAAACATGTCCCTAAAACAACCCTTAACGTTCGATTTCCAAACTGTGCAACTCACCGAGTGGTTAGTGGTGTTCGTTGATGTTCCAAAACAAGTAGCGTAGCGAAATACAGTTTCTGTCCTATTTTATTTGGCATTTTGTAAAATACCATTGATTTCTGCTGGAGGACTCAGTGCTCGTTGATATTACTGCGCTACCGGAAACGGAAAAAGGGGGCGGTTTACATTTGGTTGTAGTCTTTTCGCTCGGTTCTCCGTCTCTCAGAAGGCTAGCGTGTGCGCTTCAGACTCAAATATCGAGCGGAAGTTTATACGCGGTTGTGAGGTATCTGAAAAAATAGTTCCACTGTAGCAAATAACACGGATTGAAATCATACATTGCACCAGTATATCTGTTTTTAATCATCAACGAACACCACTAACCACTCGGTGAGTTGCACAGTTTTGAAAACGAACGTTAAGGGTTGTTTTAAGGACATGTTTGTGCATGCCCATAGACAGCCACTCTGAAGCTGTCAGAGGCGATTCAAAAAGAGTCAAAAAGTCGAGACAGGACCCATCTTCAAAATTTCTGTATCAACCACTCTAGTTCACCCAAAACAAACTAGAAAATAGACTCAAAATGCTAAATACCGGAATTCTCCTTTAAATATGGATATTTTACTTACGCATCGCTACACTTCAGAAGGCCTTTATTAACGTGTGACGTGTGCAGCACTTTTATCATGAATATATGCACTTTTATGGATTTCGAAACAGAAACAGCATCACTGTAATTATAAGCGCATTATAAAGAGCCAGGACATTTTTTAATATAACTCAGATTGTATTCGTCTGAAAGAAGAATGTCATATACACCTAGGATGAATTGAGGGTGAGTACATCTCCCAGCGCTGTGTAGTAATGTTGTTGCGTGATCGAGATCGGCCCACGAGTAAACCCTGTCTAGTATTGCTCTGAGCTGATTAACTGTTTGCGCTGCGCAGCTCAGACGAGTAGCGGAGTTTCATTCTGCTTTCGTTTGCCATGTGATGTTTCTAGTATGCAGCATAAATGGCAGCTCTCTCGCACCGGCAGGAAAGAAAGGATGCAAAATGTGACCATTTAGTCACAGTCTAGAGCCCTGTAAAGTGCTGAATTTCTGCTTTACATGAGCGCCCCCTACTGTCAGAGAGCGAATGTGTTCTTTTTGCATTGGTCTAAACTGACAAATTCCACATTCCTGTTGGTTGAACACGAGTTAATAGATACCAATCAATCAGCAAAGTGTCCTGTGCTCACCACACATGGCTGTAGGGGGAGAGGAGAGATTTGGCTATAGGGTGATATGTGGCTAACTTACACAGAAGAGACTTTGTTGCTCAGCACATGAAAATAAACTACTTACCGTGATCTCAGACTGTGTTTAAGTGGTTTCTCCACTGCATGGATCTTCATGTGTCGCTTCAGGTAACTTTTAATAGAGAAACTCTTCCCACACTGATCACATGTGTGCGGCTTCTCTCTGCTGTGAATCCTCTCATGTGTTTTCAGATATGATGATCGACTGAATCTCTTGTCACAGTGTGAACACTTGTAAGGTTTTTCTCCGGTGTGGATCCTCTCATGTGTTTTCAGATATGATGATCGACTGAATCTCTTGTCACAGTGTGAACACTTGTAAGGTTTTTCTCCAGTGTGAATCCTCTCATGCACATTCAGATATGATGAGTGATTGAATCTCTTGTCACAGTGTGAACACTTGTAAGGTTTTTCTCCAGTGTGGATCATCTCATGTGCTTTCAGATTTGCTGACTGATTGAATCTCTTATCACAGTGTGAACACTTGTAAGGTTTTTCTCCAGAGTGGATGCTCTCATGGGTTTTCAGAGTTGATGACTGACTGAATCTCTTGTCGCAGTGTGAACACTTGTAATTTTTTTCTCCAGTGTGAATTCTCTGGTGCAATTTTAACTTGTGTGCTGTAGTAAAAGTCTTCTCACACTCAAAGCACATGTACTCTCTCACACCAGTGTGAGTTTTCTGATGTGTATGTAAAGTTTGCAGCTGTGCAAAACTATTTCCACACACAGAACATGAATGCGGCTTCTCCTTCGTATGAACTCTCAAGTGTGTCTTCAGGTGTGATGCACAGAGAAATGTTTTGCTGCAGTGATCACATGAGAACGGCTTCTCTCCGGTGTGGATCCTCATGTGAACATTAAGGTGTGGTGATTGACTGAAACTCTTCCCACACTGATCACATGAGAACGGCTTCTCTCCAGTGTGGATCCTCATGTGAAGATTAAGATTACCTTTGTTTGTGAAACTCTTCCCACATTGATCACACTTAAACGGCTTCTCTCCAGTGTGGATCCTCTCGTGTCTTTTCAGATGTGCTGACAGACTGAATCTCTTGTCACAATGTGAACACTTGTAAGGTTTTTCTCCAGTGTGAATTCTCTGGTGCAGTTTTAAACTGTTTGCTGTAATAAAAGTCTTCCCACACTCAAAGCACATGTACTCTCTTACACCAGTATGGATTTTCTCATGTCCATGTAAAGATTGACTCTGTGAAAAACTCTTTCCACACACAGAACATGAATATGGCTTCTCCTTCGTATGAACTCTCAGGTGTGACTTAAGCTCTGATGCCCTAAGAAATGTTTTGCCGCACTGATCACATGTGAACGTCTTCTCTCCGCTGTGGATCTTCATGTGATCTTTAAGGTTTGCTGATTGCCTGAAATCTTTCCCACACTGATCACATGAGAACGGCTTCTCTCCAGTGTGAATCAACATGTGTCCTTTAAGCTGTGAAGATTGACTGAAATCTTTTCCACACTGATCACATGAGAACGGCTTCTCTCCAGTGTGAATCAACATGTGTCCTTTAAGCTGTGAAGATTGACTGAAATCTTTTCCACACTGATCACATGAGTACGGCTTCTCTCCGGTGTGAACTCTCATATGACTCTCAAGACTTTGTTTGCTTGTGAGACTCTTTCCACACTGAGTGCAGGTGAAAGATTTCTTGGCTCGTCTTTTCTTTAAAAATGTCTTTTTAGTCTTTGAGCGACTCAAAGGTTTTTCTCCAGGTTGGACATGATGTTCCTCCTCCACTTCACTCAGTTCTTCACTCTCCTCGCTCTCTTCCATCAGGTCTGACATGAAAGAAAAATATATTAATTTTAATTTTCAGTACATCGAAATAATTCAGTAATAGATACATACAATTTAAATGACATGAAAGTGAGCCCTGATGTAATAGTAGAAATTAGGCCTATAGAACTGCTCTAAAATATTATGATAATTTGATGCCTTTTTATAAATTGATAATATTTCCTTGAAACTTTCCATGAATGAGTAAAATTTATCTTCCAATTATTATTTTGAAAACAGTGTAGACACAAATCCCATGTTTCTTTAGCAAGAACTATTAAATATATTTGATCAATGACACAATTATCTAACATGATATTAACATTAAAATATACAACACTAGCATATTTTGACACCAACTTTGAGATTGATATTTATTTTACTAAAGACGTTTTAATTATTAATGGCCATTTGTACTAGACTTTTCCTTCCACTGACTTCCATTCATGCGCATGTGAAAGTGGGACACCAGAAACACAAGCTCAAGTGAATAACCTTGTGAGAAATAACACAAGCGTTTAGCATTCAAGTGGAGTGGATTTTTAATTTTTACACTTTTAATCATAATATGCGTTTTATGTTGAACTTATGTTTGTAAAAAAGCTGCTGCAGAATGTGACGTCATTTCACGACCGTTGCAGTGTCTGTAGAAACTTCACATGCTCAAAGTGTAGAGCGGCTTTAACTAGTTTGAAATTAATCATTTGTATTAGTATTACGCGTGTCCTACATGTTTCACTCAACTGTTACTCCTGACATGATTTTCCTCCTTTTAAAAACACAGAGCATTTCTTAAAACTGTGACACCCAGGAAGTGACATCATCTGGGCTCTGGGCGTATGATGGGAAGACAAGAAAATAATAAAATACCAAAACAAAAGTTTTTTACACAAACTGTAGCATTGACTGTATAAATCAACCCTGTTACCAAAGTTACTGTAAGAAGAATATCTATAACTATGAATAACTTATATGATATTTGAGAAATAAAACTTTATCAGTAACTTGGTGATTACCGTAAACTGCTCCCAATGAGCCAAATAATGAGAAAGAACCAAATCTCTTACCACAGCTATGCAGACGACACACAGATCTACTTAGCCCTATCGCCTAACGACTACAGCCCCATTGACTCCCTGTGCCAATGCATTGATGAAGTCAACAGTTGGATGTGCCAAAACTTTCTTCAGTTAAACAAAGACAAAACTGAAGTCATTGTGTTTGGAAACAAAGATGAAGTTCTCAAGGTGAATGCATACCTCCACTCTAGGGGTCTAGCAACTAAACATCAAGTCAAGAATCTGGGTGTGACTCTAGAGTCAGACCTGAGCTTCAGTAGTCATGTCAAAGCAATAACTAAATCAGCATACTATCATCTGAAAAATATTGAAGAATTAGATGCTTTGTTTCCAGTCAAGACTTAGAGAAACGTGTGCATGCTTTCATCTAAAAAGACCATAAGACAGTTGCAGCTCATACAGAACGCTGAGCAGAACCAGAACATATGAACACATCACACCAGTCCTCAGGTGATTTTAAAGTATTATTACTGGAATATAAATAATTTAATGGCCTAGGCTAGGACCTCAATATATTGCAGATATGCTCCCTGAATAGAAATCCAACAGATCACTCAGATCATTACATAAGCTAGAAATACCAAGGGTTATGCCAGCCGCAGCTGGAACCAACTTCCAGAAGAGATGTGGTGTGTCCAGGTGTGCTCCTACAGGGGAGGAGATCAGGTGTGCTCCTACAGGGGAGGAGATCAGGTGTGCTCCTACAGGGGAGGAGATCAGGTGTGCTCCTACAGGGGAGGAGATCAGGTGTGCTCCTACAGGGGAGGAGATCAGGTGTGCTCCTACAGGGGAGGAGATCAGGTGTGCTCCTACAGGGGAGGAGATCAGGTGTGCTCCTACAGGGGAGGAGATCAGGTGTGCTCCTACAGGGGAGGAGATCAGGTGTGCTCCTACAGGGGAGGAGATCAGGTGTGCTCCTACAGGGGAGGAGATCAGGTGTGCTCCTACAGGGGAGGAGATCAGGTGTGCTCCTACAGGGGAGGAGATCAGGTGTGCTCCTACAGGGGAGGAGATCAGGTGTGCTCCTACAGGGGAGGAGATCAGGTGTGCTCCTACAGGGGAGGAGATCAGGTGTGCTCCTACAGGGGAGGATATCAGGTGTGCTCCTACAGGGGAGGAGATCAGGTGTGCCCCTACAGGGGAGGAGATCAGGTGTGCCCCTACAGGGGAGGAGATCAGGTGTGCCCCTACAGAGGAGGAGATCAGGTGTGCCCCTACAGAGGAGGAGATCAGGTGTGCCCCTACAGAGGAGGAGATCAGGTGTGCCCCAACAGAGGAGGAGATCAGGTGTGCCCCAACAGGGGAGGAGATCAGGGGTGCTCCTACAGGGGAGGAGATCAGGTGTGCCCCTACAGGGGAGGAGATCAGGTGTGCCCCAACAGGGGAGGAGATCAGGTGTGCCCCTACAGGGGAGGAGATCAGGTGTGCCCCTACAGAGGAGGAGATCAGGTGTGCCCCTACAGAGGAGGAGATCAGGTGTGCCCCAACAGAGGAGGAGATCAGGTGTGCCCCTACAGGGGAGGAGATCAGGTGTGCTCCTACAGGGGAGGAGATCAGGTGTGCTCCTACAGGGGAGGAGATCAGGTGTGCTCCTACAGGGGAGGAGATCAGGTGGCCCCTACAGAGGAGGAGATCAGGTGTGCCCCAACAGAGGAGGAGATCAGGTGTGCCCCAACAGAGGAGGAGATCAGGTGTGCCCCTACAGAGGAGGAGATCAGGGGTGCTCCTACAGAGGAGGAGATCAGGTGTGCTCCTACAGAGGAGGAGATCAGGTGTGCTCCTACAGAGGAGGAGATCAGGTGTGCTCCTACAGAGGGGATCAGGTGTGCCCCTACAGAGGAGATCAGGTGTGCCCCTACAGTGGAGATCAGGTGTGCTCCTACAGTGGAGATCAGGTGTGCTCCTACAGAGGGGATCAGGTGTGCCCCTACAGTGGAGATCAGGTGTGCTCCTACAGAGGGGATCAGGTGTGCCCCTACAGTGGAGATCAGGTGTGCTCCTACAGAGGAGATCAGGTGTGCTCCTACAGTAGAGATCTGGGCCCGTATTCATAAAGATTCAAAGAATCCTCTCAGAAAACTCTTAATTTAGCTTAACTTTTACGTAGGAGTCTTAGCTTAAGAGTGATTCGGGACCGATCTGAGAGCAACTCTGAGTAAGGAAAAGACAAAAACTTTCATCTTAGTGAGGAGGCGGGGCTGACCCATTTGCTATGCATGACACAATCTTTTGAAGACTGTGATTGGTTGGTTGTCCAAGAAGGAAAAAAAAGAGAGTCATTTTAAGTATAGAGTCTAATCTAAGCCTTCAATTTGAAATTACATGCGTAATTTTTCCTATTTGACCGTTCTCTCTCACACACACACACACACATTATATATGTGTATAAAATCCTTTTTTTTTATTAACCATGCTGTTAATGTCCTATAAGGTATTTGATTGGCTTAGAATGATACAAATTGTTCCACTCTTTCCAATTACACTAATTGCTGTCTATTTAAGTGGTGGTTTGAATGTTTGTTTTAATATAGCAAACATGGATTAAAAAACAAGACAGACAAGAAAGCCCGACTGGTCAGAAGAACCGTGTTTACTGTTAGCCCAGTTAGTAAGTGGATGAACACTAGGCCATCCTTAAAGGAAAATTCGGGCCGGGTGTCACAGCATGGAGCGAGAAGCGGACGCTGTAGCTTATAGCGCACATTAACGGTTCATTGCCCTGCTTGTGCGCACCAGGGAAGCCTGCTATTCATATCTGCATTTTTATTGAGCCTGCAAGGTGGGAATGTCCAGTGGAAACTAAATGAACTGCGACACAATAAGAGGTTCTGAAAGTGCTGTAATGTTTGTGTGATCACTGCTTACAGAAGGTTGTGACAGACCCAAATTACTGCTGCTTTATTGCATTTTCCCATTTGCCAAATATCTTAATGTAGTGATTACTTTCATTTCTGGCGTTATGGCATTCCTGCGCTGTGTCGGAGATATTAGCGTGTCTCTAATAAGATCAGTCACAAACATGATCCCTGCACGATCTCATCTATAGCGTCTTATTAACTCACTGTCATCTATTGTCTGCATCACATTTCTTCTCCCTCTTCATCGTTCTGTCATTTTCTCCTCTGCTAAAGAAACTCTTAAGCCTCTTAAAAGTCCTCGTCCGTATTCCTAACAATTTTGACCTTAAGACCTCTTTTAAGGGGTAAGATGCTTTCAGACTTATTTCTTTACTAGGATTTTTTCTTTAATTTTAAGAGTAAACGCCCACATTTCTAAGAATTTTCTTCGAATTTTGTCACTAGGAGCTACTCTTTGCACTAAGATTCTTTATGAATACGGGCCCAGATGTGCTCCTACAGTATCACATTCAAATCCAGACTCAAAACACTTCTGTTTAGCTGATTGAGCACTGTGCCACTGTGTCCGACTGTTTGTACTGCGTTTTATTTTATTTTTTATTCTAAACTGTTTAATTATTCTTATTTATTTGAATTATGTTATTTCTTCTATGTAAAGCACTTTGAATTACCATTGTGTATGAAATGTGCTATAAGTAAACTTGCCTTGCTGATTATTCCTAAAAAAATATGTTTTGTATACTATGTTGAAAATGACAAATTCTGATAACGTTGTTGCAAATTAGGAACCAGATATAAAATAAATGTAAAATAAAACAGTTAAAATAGTATTTAGCTTGATATGATCTTGACAATCAATATAAACATTTCTCAAGCCTCCCTTTACTGGGCATTTGTTGAAGAAAAACCCCACAAGTTTCTGTACCATTTCATAGTGTAACTGTTTATCTAAAAGTGATGAAGTGCTTGAATGTTTCTAACATGAATGTTCTCCAGCATCATGAATGAAGAATAAACACCAACCTCTTTGTTCTTCAGGATCTTCAGTGTGTTTCATTCTGCAGGGTTCTGGATCACTCATGTTCTCACTGTCCTCTTTAATAAACTCAGTCTTGGCAGATTTCAGCTCTTCCTGATGCTCGTCTTCACTTGTAGCTGATGGGAATTTACGACATTTATTGGAGAATTGCCATGGGAGGAGCTTCACTGATGATGTAGTTATAGTGGGAGGAGCTTTACTGATGATGTAGTTATAGTGGGAGAAGGTTCACTGATGATTGTTATTACAGTGGGAGGAGCTTCACTGATGATGTGTTCCAGTGTGGGAGGAGCTGATCTGCCAAAATCAAAAATATATAAATTACTGATTGAGTTTGTTTTTAACATTTCTAAGCATTTATGTCTTTCTATCTAGTAACTGATGCTAATATATTAATTATTTGTATTGCTAATCCTAACATTATTCTGCTTCTTCATTTACAAGGTATCTAGAAATATAGAAAAGAATATACATAACTTAAATTCTTCTAAATATAAATAATGGTAAGTAAAACAGTTAAAATCATAAAGAAAGAAAGAAAGAAATGAACACATATAATATAGCCAACAAATACCAACAGTCTGTAGAAACCAATGAAACGAGCTTTAAGTGACAATGTACAGGAGATCTGAAGACATCAGCATAATAAATGAGGTGAAAACAGGAACTATTGTCATGAAATAAAGAGTGTTTTCAGCAGATCTGTTAATACTGATGATCCTCAGATGATCAACACTCATTCAACAAGCCATTCAGGATCATCAGCAGATCATCTCACTTTATTCTGAGTGTTTGCTGTTAGAAACACATTATCAGTCAGGATACACGATAAAAGCCTGTAAAACTGCTCTATAGGAAAACTTGATAAAGTTTGATTTTATGATAACTACATTCATTACAATAAAGTAATTAGATCATTAAAATGTGCAGAAACTGAAAACAATAATACAACTTTTAAATATAAAGAGCACCACAAGCAACATTATTCGAAGTGTAATAGATACAATATTATTTATGTATAGATTTAAAATGTCTCACGTGACTCATAGGCTCGGTGTAACGTTAAAGTATTTAGTGCTAGCAGTATCTGTTGGAGTTTATTTGTTAACAAAGTAAAGTAACTGTAATCCAAATGTGTCAAGAGTATAAATAAAACGGCAACGGCAGCAGAAACACTTGAGATCGATTTCCCTTGCAGATCTCAAACTTTAACTCTTGACATTCAGTAACAGTTCTCACTCCAAACATCGAGGCAATCACACAAACAAACGAACACACAATCTCTCAGGTCTGAATGAACTCCACATATTCTCCTCATGCTCGCTGCTGCTGCACTAAATGTTTAGCATTTAATGAAAATGCTATTTCAGTGAGAAGAAGACGCCAGAAAAGACGCACAAGTATCGCTGTGATCGATGAAAACAATGGAGAAATGAGTCTGTCGCTTAATCAACCTGAATAAAGTGTGTGATGGTTGTGTATGAGAAATACCGTGAACTTCTCTCCTCGCCTCAGAAGACTCGACGCTGAAACTCAATGAGGGAAAAGACGGCGCGAGCGAGCGGTGACGTCATCGGCCGCCAACGGTAGATGATCAGAGACGCGCCTATGGCAAGCCGTTTTAGCATTAAATACCACTGGCTTTACTAGTCGTAATTTAGTTTTGACTAGTCAAAATTCAAATTCCAGATATTTTAATTCCAATTTTGACTCGTCGTAATTGGAAGTAATATACAATGTGATTATGACTAGTCATAATAGGCTATGCATTGAAGATATCTACAATGCTATTTTTGACTAGTCATATTCTTCAATTGACTTCCTTTGGAAAATATTTCCGGATATCTTCAAATGAGTTTTGACTAGTAGAAATTGTAATTAAAGATATCTATAATTGATTTTGTAAGTCATTAAAAATGGCAAGAATTTTTAGCATATATATAAGGGACATAGCCTAGGCCTACTACCAGAAACGTAGGCTACATTATCTGTCCTTGAACTGTTACAGTGAATACAAAGTATTTCATCCAAAAAAAAATGGGTCTGTAAATGAATATGCCATTTATTAGGTTCTCAGATATTTTTTTCTTTATTAAAAACACTTTTGAAAATTACAAATCCTGTCCTTGTCCTCGTCCTCAGCCAAATTGGAGCTATACAGCTTTCATAGTTTTGTCATGCTAAAAACTGTTATTTAGAAAATAATTCCATCAATAACAAGTTCTCATCATTCACATCAATTGATTAAAAACATGAAATGATACATCAATTCTACAAATTAATACAATTTTACAACTGTCCCCATGTTTTCGGTCAGTCCTGTCACGTTTACATAAAACTCTAGATAAAATGTGTGCAATACGCCTTTAAGGGTATGACTCAGAGGAAGTGACATCATTTGACAGAGGTGAAGCTGTAATTGATCAAGGATAAGTTCTCTCATTGAATTGTATGATTTTAAACTTGTTTTTGTATGTTTTTTTTTTGAGGAGGACGAGCTAAAGGGTCAGGCCCTGTCACGGGAAAACATCCCAGAAAATAATGATAAAAAAAAAATCCAAAACATGACTAAAAATGTTACTGAAATTCCTTGCTTGCATGTTAACAGTTTTTATGCTAGCATGCTAGCAGGCTGCGTAATGGCAGTTTAAAATGGCAGCCGTCAGGCCTCGTCACATCAGGTCCTGTCACACAGCCGTATACAAATTAATGGCATTGTTCTTTTTTTATTACCTTTAATGCATAATATGTATTTAATGCATGCCAGATAGTAAAACATTATTTGAATAAATAGACATTACACTGTACATTTGAAGCTTTTTATGTTCATCTGCATTTTTTTTGTTCTTTTTCCTAGTAGCACTGAGGGTTGCACTTTGTATATGAATGATATTTCAATACATAAATAGATATAATTGTCATTTATATTAGCTTTGAGTAATGATGACTAATTATTTAAAATTATACAGATTGCAGTTATATGGCTCCAGTTAGTGCAGCTGAGAGACAAAGGCAATGTCGGGCACGACTAAATGCAGACCCCGAGAGTAAGGAGAAACATCTTCAGAAAGAAAGGGGGAGATGGAGGCAGAAAAAGGAAAGAAGGAAAAGTATTCACAAGAATAATAATTTAAAATAGGAATGCTTATCAAAACTTAAATAAAGAACACAAAACTTGACTTTTTCTGCATCAACGAAATCCATAAAGTCAGTCCTGTCACGCCACAGTCAGTCCTCCTGTCACACAGGAAATTATGGTATAAAAATGTACTATTTGAGGAAATATTGATGAATTAATCTCTTTAATTGTGTAGATGACGGTGGGGGTATATATCCACCACTATGTTTTTGTAAAAATCTCCTATGTAAAGCTAGTTTTTTTACAACTATAAGAGTGCCGGGCGGGTATTCTGTGATTTTGTGTACTACAGTTGACCGAAAAGTTGCTAAATATTTCTTAAAGGAATTACAAAACTATGTTAGATACAATCAGGGACATGTGACCAATAAGAAAACATATACAAATTTGTCTGTGACAGGGCCTGACATTATAGGGGTGAAATGCGTATAAAAATGTATTTTATTCAATAATAAAAACCTGCTAAGATGGCATGCTATGTGTTTCTCATAGTTTAACATGTCTTCTGTATGACTCAATGTTAAGATTTAAGAATACAATTTTTTTTTTTCCCAAGATTTTTTTATAAGTGGAAATGTACGTTTCTGGTAGAATGTCCCATAAAACATTTTCAAACATTTTGTTTGTGTTTTTGTCGAGAAGGTGAAGCTTTATTTAGATAAAAACGGTTATGTTGCTGCTGTTTTTGTTGATTTTAAGCGTGCGTTTGATACTGTGAATCACTTTAAGCTTTTGTCTAGACTGTTAACATTTGGCTTTAGTAATCAAACAGTTAAATGGATCCAGTCTTATTTATCGGATAGAAAACAATGTGTGCAAATAAAGAATTGTAAGTCACCCTATCTTCAATATACACAGGGTGTTCCACAGGGATCAATCTTGGGACCTCTGCTTTTTTCACTGTATGTGAATAGTTTGCCCAATGTATGCAAAAATGTCGACACGATTGTGTAAGCTGAGGATACGGTAATTTTTACACATGCCAAAAGTGCTGAGGATGCAGCCCATCAGCTTTCATTTGCTTTAAATGATCTGCAAAAATGGCTGAATGATTCATGCTTGTGTCTTAATGTTGAAAATACTGTATCAATGTTTTTTAGTAAACCTAAAACAACTGTGGCCACAGCAAAAGTTTGCTTGGGTGGACAAGAATTAACTAATCTTGAGGAATTTAGGTATCTGGGAGTTCTGATAGACTCGAAATTATCTTTTAATAAACATGTCAAAAAAGTTGTGAGAACTGTAAATGTTAATTTACGGAACTTTAAACAGATTCGTACATCATTACAGTTTTTACCAACTGCGTACACACGTTTTCAAAACTAAGTCTCCTTTTTTCAAAACTCTACACACAATTCTCAAAACTGCACACACAAAATGCAAAATGCCTCACATCTCCTTCAAAATGCAACACTGCGTTCAAAATGCCATAAACACATGTCAGAATGAAGCATTTGCATCAAATGGCAAACACTTCTTTTATAATAACACATTTTTGGATATACCATGTAAACACTGCTGTTCTAAATCTAAAGCTCTTTGGTCTTTCATAGGCTTATATCTACATTTCAATACAATGTTCTACAGTGAAAGTAATCTGCTGAGAGTGGTAACAAGTACACCGGAAACGCCAATGCAATGTAGAAACAGAAAATATTGATTAGGCCAAACATTACTGTTGTATACATTAGCATACAACAGAACTTTTACGTAAACATTTACGTAAACCAAAAGTATATTCTTTACAGTAAAATACAGTAAATTCTGTGTGGGGTCCCGGTCCAGGAATTGGCGGGGGGGGGGGGGGGGGGGGGGGGGGGGGTGCAGTTCCCAGTGCTAAGCTTCATCTCTTCTCCGAGCTGGGTCTGGCCACAATACTTCGTCCACATCACAAGATACGTTTTCTCTTGCCAAACATCGAGGGAAGTATCTCCTAGCATGGCGTATCCAACCTTGGACAGAGGCAACCTCTATGTCCCCACATGCGTCCTCCATTGCCTGGAGAAGCGGCATGCGGGCATAGGGTTGGCGATCATACACTTTCCAGCGCCAGGCTGAGAAGAATTCCTCTATGGGATTTAGAAAAGGTGAATATGGGGGTAGGTACAAAACTACAAATTGTGGATGGGTGGCAAACCAGTTTTGGACCAGAACAGCCCGGTGAAAACTAACATTGTCCCACACAAGCACAAATCTAGCAGGCACCAAGCATTGTATGAATTGCATCCAGAAAAGTGAGTATATGTGTGACCTGGTCAATAAGTGTAGCATTTTGTTTGGTTATGTTTGGAAAAGGAAAGCAAGTCACTTCCTGATAGATCTTTGTGTTTTAGGTAGAGAATTGTGTGTAGTGTTTTGAAAAAAGTGTTTTATGCAATTGAAAACTGAGTCAAAGGCTGAGAAATAGCTTATGGTTTTGAAGATTTGGCATGTAGTTTTGCACTTTGAGTGAGAGGTTTCAAAAATCGTGTGACATGAAAAGATTTTGTGTGTAAGCAGTTGGTAAAAACTGTAACAGATACAGCAGCGATCACGTTCTTGCACTCTATGATACTGGCTCATATTGAGGACTGTATCACAAGTTGGTCTTATACGAGTCATGCTGCTATTGGGCCAATTGAAGTATGCTACAAAAGAGCATTGAAAATATTAGATAAGAAACCTTCGTCATATCATCATTGTAATATTCTAGATAAATATAAGTTTTTAAATTTTGCGAATTTCAAATTATTTAAATCAGCCTGTCTAATCTATAAAGTTATACATGGTCTGGCACCTCCACCATTGAGTGATTTTATTAAACAAAAGTCTATCAGTGCTGTCGGGTCTCGAGTGACTAGAGCCACTATGAGAGGTGACTGTGACTTGGCGTTTAGGCGGACCGCCTTTTCACAGAACGCTCTATCATATCAGGGGGTGAGCTCCTGGAATAGTATTCCTCAATCAGTGAGGGAAAGCACAAGTTTTCCTAAGTGTGCGTGTGTGTGCGTGTGTGTGTGTGTGTGTGCGTGCGTGTGTGTGTCATTCTAATTCTCCGTGAGAAATCCCCAGTGTGAATGTTATCATCTTGTTTATTTTTCATCATAATTCATTAGTTTATAACCCTAGTGCTCTAGTGCCGCCGCCACATAGGCACATATCCATAAAACCCATATAAATGAAAATAAATCTGGCCTGTTATCTGCAAAAACATTGTAATCTAAACTTGATGATGTCACTATTTCTTCAGGGGGATCTTCAGTTTTTTCTCTGTTTTCTGAGAAGAAGAAAATAAAACAATAAACAATCCTCTGAAAGTTTGTGCTATTGCAAATATTGTTGCAGATTCTCTCCAAACTCACCAGTTTTTATTGTAATATTCAGGCATCTCTATTTCCTCTGGGTGCTTCGAGTCCTTCCTCCCTGCAGAATAAAAGCATTGCCTGACCTCTCGTGTGTGTTTATCATGACTGCAGATGTTCAGTGTGTGTGTTTATCATGATTGCAGATGTTCAGATCAGATGAGTGTGAATCTTCAGATTGTGTGAGGCTCAAACTCACCAGCTCTTCTTGCACAGATGATCTGAAGAAGAATCACAGTAGGAGCAGCAAACACTGCGATCTCAACAATACTCACAATCACTGCAGGAAACATGAGAGGAAGAAGAGAAACTGTACATGACTGAAGTCAAGGGTCTTCATCTATCAACAGTTATTGATGAAGCATTTACAGACTGACTGATAGTGTAATGTTATAAAGCTGTCAGTATAAATGAACGTGTCGTACCTCTGTATAATAATCCAGCAGTTTCTGATGCTGTATCAGCTGGACCTGTGGATCACGTGTGTTAGTTCAGTTCAACACACAACTACACAACATTTGCGCATGCGCGTGCAGTCTGTGTTTGTGTTTGGAAGCTCCGTCGAATCGATTCATTAATCCTTGATTTTCTTCTTTACCACTCATTTATAAACAAGCATTTTCTATTTTTATATCATGGGAACTTATCCTCGATACTATTCCTTCTAAAAAAACAATCGGATTGCTTTGATATCGCTACTTAGATCCAACTTTGCGAATCTCGGCTACTAGCCTTTAGTCCGCTAGCATTTCACGCGTGGGCTCGTGCCTACCGACCGTCTCATTTTCCACCCGTTTCACTGAAAGGATACAGGTTATATCCAGCATTCCAGTCCTAAATTAGTAGTGATATTGATAGTATCACTAATTTACTGTTCATCTGTTATAATGGCGAACATATCAGATGTGTGTCTAAAGTTAACTCTGAGTGCAGGTGAGGACACATTCGAGCTGATTGCGGTACGATTGGAGCTGGAATCGGTGGAGAAGCAGATCTATGGTCTGCTGGAGAAACAAGCCGAGCTGCGAGATCGGCGATCAGCGCTTGAAACGTCACGCGCCGATGCTCACAAGTCAGTGGTTAGTAACTTTTTGACTCCGACTTCGTCTACTCCGTGCGTTTCTCTGCCCAGGAGGACGCGATCATCCCTGGCATCATTAACTCCGGCACCGACCCAACACCATGGACCCTGTGGTGCTGCACGCGGAACGAACGACATCAGGCTGCGGCAGACGGAGGTTCTGAAGAAGGACTACAGGAGCCTGATCGAGACGGTACGCAGCACAGCGCCTGAGGCAACGATCATCGTGTCTGGACCGCTTCCCACGTACCGATTAGGACAGGAAAGGTTCAGTAGATTATTTGCACTAAATGAATGGTTAATGTCATGGTGTAATGAACAGAAACTGCTCTTTGTAAATAATTGGAATCTGTTCTGGGAGCGACCTAGGCTCTACCGTGCTGATGGCCTGCACCCCAGCAGAATCGGAGCGGCTGTGCTGTCGGACAACATCTCCAAGACGTTACACACCGTATGACTAGAAAATAAAATTCCAAATCACAGTCTTTGCTGTCCCAACTTAATTGATATAAGTAGTGTAGAACATTATAGAAACTGTGTCTATTCCTCGTTTAGTGAGGCCAAATAATAAATCTAGTGTAGGATCTAGGAAAAATCTTATTGTAATTAAACCAGAAAATCTAAATATCAGTGAACAAAAACAAATTTCTAAAACTAGGTCTTCTAAACATTAGATCGCTCACACCTAAGGCGGTTATTGTTAGAGCCCTGCACGGGCCTCAAATCTAGGCCCTAGCCCGGCCCTGCCCCGAGACGCTCAGGCCCTAGCCCGGCCCGTGTCCGACAGCTCATCAGAATGATCAGCCCGAGTCCGACCCGAGCCCGTAAAAAAAAAAAAGATAAACAGCCTGACCTATGTTGCAGTCAGTAAACCAGATATATTTTGTTTTCAATGGCAAAGTATTTACCGGTAAGTTTATTTTCATTTCTTTATACAGTTAATTAAGAAAAAACAACAACAAAAATGTATGACGACCAAGCAGCCGACAGCGAGTTAAACATGTTTGATCCATTGATTGATTTATAGCCTCTCAAATCAACACTTTACTTGGCTACAATAAAATCCATAGATATAAAACAACTTAAGCATATCACACAGACAGTTAACGTTAGTTTAAACGTTTATTGTCATTTTTGAAAAGCTGAGGCAAACTGCTCTGCTGCTCAGTCGCAACAGCGCTCGCAAACTAAATGAATTTATAATATAGGCTACAATACAGAGAATGCAATCTAAACAAATCAAATAAATTACATTAAAAACAAACATGCAGGTTATCTTACCTCAAAAATCAATTCTTCACTACAGAACATGGCCATTTCCAATAGTTTCCAACAGACTCATGAAAATAAAGTCCAATCAAACAAAAAACAACCTCCTCCTAACATGGCTAAGAACAGTCTCAGAGCATCGTGAAGAAAAAGCACAGCATCCACAGTGGAAGGTTTTAATCCAGTCGTACTTTTTCCAGCTGCGCTGAAGTCACGCTCGCTACCATAGCGGGACACTAGAACGAGCCGGTCGCGCGAATCTCAGATCGCGCCGCCGGGAAACCTGTGTGTGTGTGTGTGTGTGCGTGAGCGTGAGCATGAGCAGACTGTCATGTGTCAGTCATATGTCAGTGTGATAGGCTATAAAACGTCTTTCTATGTTTGCTTTTCAATCGTCATCTTCTCATGTTTTATTTTAATTAATGTCTAAAATAGGCTATAAAAAAGATAAGCCTAAAACAGGCCCGAGGCCCGGCCCGCGTGTGAACTATGACGTGAAAATTGGCCCGAAGCCCGGCCCTAGGAGCTTAAATAAGTCGGGGCCCGTCGGGCTCGGGCTGAAATGCAGGCCTCTAGTTATTGTAAATGAAATGGTCACAGATAATAGCTTCGATGTACTTTGCCTCACTGAAACCTGGCTTAAACCAAATGAGTATTTCGGTCCAAATGAGTCTACTCCGCCAGGATACTGTTATAAGCATGAGCCCCGTCTGATCGGTCGTGGCGGCGGTGTTGCAACAATCTATAGAGATATTCTTAATGTTACTCAGAAAACAGGTCACAGGTTTAATTCGTTTGAAGTACTGGTGCTAAATGTTACGCTCTTAGATGTAAGAAATAAATCCCTATTATCTCTAGCCTTGGCTACTGTATATAGACCTCCAGGGCCCTACGCTGATTTCCTAAAAGAGTTTGCAGACTTTCTCTCAGATCTATTGGTCAATACCGATAAAGCAATAATTGTTGGAGATTTTAACATACACGTAGATAACACAAACGATGCGTTAGGGACTGCGTTTACAGATTTATTAAACTCCTTTGGGGTCAAGCAGAATGTCAGTGGTCCCACTCATCGTCTAAATCATACACTAGATTTAATTATATCATATGGAACCAATCTAACCGATATAGATATTATACCGCAAAGTGACGATCTCACTGATCATTGCATGGTAACGTGCATGATACGTACTGCTGAAATTTGTCATGTTGCGCCACGTTATAGACCAGGCAGAACAATCCTTCCAATCACTATAGATAGATTCTCAAATAGCTTACCTGATCTATCTCAGCTGCTCAGTGAACCCAAACAAACAGATGAGCTAGAGGAAATGACCAGCAGTTTGAGCACCATTTTCTCTAGTACATTAGATATTGTTGCAGCAATTAGATCAAAAAAGGTTAGAGAGAAAACTAAAGCACCATGGTACAATAGTACTACACATGTTATCAAGAGAGAAACTCGTAACCTAGAGCGTAAATGGAAACAAACTAATTTAGAGGTCTTTAGAATCGCGTGGAAAGACAGTGGGCCCTATCTTGCACTCGGCGCAAATGACTTTGTACACTGACGCATGTATCATTCCTATTTTGCACCCGCGCAAAGCGGGCTTTTCCCTCCACAGACACACGTCGGTTAACTAAGAAATACACTTGCGCTCCCCGGGGCGGTTCAGCGCAAAGAGGAGGCGTGTTCCGGCGCAAACTTTCCCTCATGCTATTTTGCTGTTCTATAAGACAATTGCGCCACTGACCAGAAAAAACCTAGTCTAAAGTCAGTGGTGTGTTGCGCGTTGTTCATTATGCTATTTTAAGGGCGCATGCTTGGCCATAATCAATGTAGCGTGTGCACAACGCGCATACACGTTGATTCTCTCATCTAAGCAGCAGTTTTCATTTTTGCAAATCATACATTATTACGATAGATAGATAGATAGATAGATAGATAGATAGATAGATAGATAGATAGATAGACAATTTATTATAAAAGCATACATGTAGCTTACACATTTACCCAAATTATCATTCGCCTGTTTAACAGAAGTTAATTTGGGTGGGTTTCTCCATCCTCAATGTCACTTCTCTGTGTTTTACGGCCCTGACGAGAACGTTGCTCTCCTCGGCTGTGAACCACTCCTGGCGCGCGCCTGGCAAATCCGCCGTTATAATAGGAATCCGCTTTAGAACAAGCGCGCCTGCTCTTAAAGGGAATGTGAGATGGTGCTCTGATTGGTTTATTTCACGTTACGCCCAAACCACACCTATGAATAATGAAGCTACTTCAGACCAGCCCCTTTTAGATTTGCGCCAGGCGCAAAAGGCATTTATCCCGCCGGGAAAATAGCAACAGCGCCGGGATCCGCCCACAAAGTTACTTGCGCTTTGCGCTTTGACACTTGCGTTTCAGATCGTTAAAATAGGGCCCAGTATGTCACGTTATAAAAAGGCTCTAAAAGCAGCCAGGGCTGAGCATCTCCGCAAACTAATAGAAAATAACCAAAATAATCCAAGGTTTTTATTTAACACCGTGGCTAGACTAACAAATAAACAGACATCACCAGAGCAAAATATTCCGTTACAGTTTAGTAGTAATGATTTTATGAACTACTTCAATGAGAAAATAGAAAGCATCCGAAACACAATTGTAAATGTACAATCCTCTATGGTGTCTTATGATTCAACCTCAATTATCGCCCCTCAAGAACAACTACACCGCTTTACAACTGTAGGACAGGAAGAGCTAAATAAACTTATCTTTGCATCTAAACCAACAACATGTTTATTAGATCCAATAGCCACTAAACTACTGAAAGAAGTGTTACCTGTAGTGGAAGAGCCTCTTCTCAATATTATTAACTCGTCTTTATCTTTAGGTCATGTTCCAAAAATATTCAAGCTGGCAGTAATAAAACCTCTCATTAAGAAACCGCAATTAGATCCAAATAACTTAGCAAATTACAGACCCATTTCAAATCTTCCATTTATGTCTAAAATACTAGAAAAAACTGTGTCCGCTCAATTGTGCTCTTTCTTGCAAGAAAATGAGATATATGAAAAATTTCAGTCAGGATTCAGACCGCATCATAGCACAGAAACTGCGCTAGTTAAAATTACAAATGATTTACTTTTAGCGTCTGACCAAGGCTGTATCTCAATACTAGTTCTA